ATAAACCAAAACCCCAGATAATCATGGTTTTACATTAATGTACTACACACACAAGACATGCTCCCCTACTTGACTCCTCCCACTGGCAGGAGTTTCCAAAGTAGAGAAGAAGTTCCCCGACTCCTACTGCTCCCAGCATGCCTCTGGGAGCACATCCAAGGCACGCCGTCACCCAGCGCTGCTAGGAGTCGGCGTCCAGAGGCACTTCCTTGGGACTAGGCAAGCCTTCAGAGGAGGTAAGCAGCGAGGGCAAAAGAGGTCCTTGAATGAAGGGAAAGGGAAAGCCCAGCAGGCCACCATCCCCAGCCGGTCTCCGTGGCAATGCGGCCTGCCACTCCTCCTCCTCATGCCCTCCCTCTCTCCCTCCCTCCTCAAGCCGCGCCACTAAGCGCGATTTTATTTTTTCTTTAACTTATTATTTTTATTTATACCCAGCATACTAGACAACCCCCAACTGCAACATAATGGCTGATAGTTTTCATTAGGTTTTTAAAAAAAGAAATGTAATTTCAGTACACAGCTCTGAAGCAAGGTAAAGAATACATCAAACTTCATCTAAGTGGGGTTTTTTTTTTTTACAAAATACTTACAAACAGCACACCAAAATACTTTAGTAAAGGTAAAGGTTTCCCCTGACATGAAGTCTAGTCGTGTCTGACTCTGGGAGGTGGTGGTCATCTCCATTTCTAAGACAAAGAGCTGGCATTGTCCATAGACACCTCATAGGTCATGTGGCCAGCATGACTGCATGGTGCACCGTTACTTTATAAACAATTATGAAGTTAAAACAATTATGAGTTAAAACAATTATGAAGAGAAAAGCCTGAGGGAGGATTGTTGTTCTTAATAAACTCTGCATTACCACATGTGTCTGACAAACCTCAGCAAAATTACAAATAAGACCAAACAGCATCACTACAACATTATGCAGAAACACATTATGCATAAATTACAATTATGCAAAATTATTCAGTAGAAAGCACTCCCTCAAGTTAAGAAACAGGAATGAGTTATTAATGTAATGAAATTTGCTTCCACAAATAATATTTTAATATCGAGATTATTTTTGCTTCACTTTACTGTCACCAAGTGCTTTTTAATTGCCAAGTTAGAAATGTGTGCAATTAAGCTTAATAATTATTTTAATTTATTAATACGCTCTCATATAACATTCTGTTTTAATAGTTTATTTACCAGAGTGTTTGCTTGCTGCTGGAAACATAAATGCATCAAATATAAAATACCTTGTTTTTATTTTTTAAACCCTCATTTCTTTAATGTGCAATGTTTCTTTTTAAAAACTTGCAAAGACAGTTTACTAAATGAAGATCAGATTCCAACCAGGATATACAAGAAGCTAGACAACTACAAAGGAGTAAGACAGATGGTATTCCCAGGGTGCCTTTGAGGAAACACACCTCATGGTTGCAAGTGCCAGCCATATCGATTTCTCTCTCTCTCTCTTGTGAACAGAGGTAAAAGAACAGATCGTATAAAGTCTGGTGCTAAATATGCCAGAAGCAAATCAACTTTTTTTTAAAAAAAACCCAAAACACCCTCAAAACTGTCTTCAGGAGCATGCACACACCCATTCTGCCTGGAGCAGAAACAATAGGAGAGATACAGAGGGAGTAGCATCCTTCTCTTGCTTGCCAGTCTAACTGTTGCTGTTGTTATAACTAACTTCAAATTGACCTCTACCAATGGTGACCCTATGAATAAGGTTCCAAATCCTCAACATCCCTGCTCAGGTCTTGCAGACCTGCGATTTCCTCAATTGAATCTATACACCTGTAATGCTTCCTTCCTCTTTTTCTCCTGCCATCTACCTTACCAAGCAGTATTATCCTATCTAGTGAACCACCCCTTCTTAAGACATGTCCAAAGTACGACAGTCTCAGATGAGCCATTTTGTCTTGTAGGAAGGGGTTTGGCTTGATTTGCTCAAGGACCCATTTATTGGTCATTTTTAACCCTCTTGGCTTCTAGAGGGAGTTCAGCTCTGAGTCTAGGGCCAGCTGAAAAAAATTCCACATTTTCTGCTTTGAATTGGAAGATATGGCAGTGTAGGCTCAGATAATCACCCAGTTCAAAGCGGATATTGTGGGATTTTACGCCTTAACATTCTGGGTTATATGGTTGTGTGGAAGTGCCCTAAGACCCATTTGCTGGTCATGCATTTGGCTTGAAGGGACATTCTTCCTTGATTTACTCTGGGATCCATTTATTGGTCATTTATGTGTTCCTGTTGGCTTCTAGGGAAAGTTCAGGATTGAGTCTAAGGTTGGATCTACACTGCCCTATATCCCAGGATCTGATAGCAGGTTGTCCACTGATTCCAGATGATCTGGCAGTGTAGACTCATATAATCCAGTTCAAAGCATATAGTCTGGGATCATATACTGTGACATAGGCAGTGTAGATCCAGCCTAAGACCCATGTATTGGTCATTTATTTACTCATCTTGGCTTGTAGGGAGAGTTCAGCCTTGGGTACTTCCAGACAGGCCCTATATCCCAGGATCTGATCCCAGGTTTTCTGTTTATCCCAAGGCCCTTCTACATAGCCATATAACTCAGATAATCAAGGGAGAAAATCAGACAATCTTTGCTTTGAACTGGAGGCCCTTCCACACAGCCCTATATCCCAGAATATCAAGGCAGAAAATCCCACATTATCTGAGTGTGGACTCAGATAACCCAGTTCAAAGCAGATATTGTGGGATTTTCTACCTTGATATAGGGCTGTGTGGAAGGGCCTAGGGTTTTTTTATCATGTCAGGAGCGACTTGAGAAACTGCAAGTCGTGTCTGGAATGAGAGAATTGGCCGGCTGCAAGGACATTGCCCAGGGGACACCCGGATGATTTGATGTTTTTATCATCCTTGTGGGAGGCTTCTCTCATGTCCCCGCATGAGCTGATAGAGCTGGAGCTGATAGAGGGAGCTCATCCGCCTCTCCCCGGATTTGAACCTGCGACCTGTTGGTCTTCAGTCCTGCCAGCACAGGAGTTTAACCCACTGTGCCACTGGGGGCTCCAGGGCCTAGGGTGATCTGTGTGTACACTGCCACATATTCCAGTTCAAAGCAGAAAATGTGGGATTTTATTCAGCTGTATGGAAGGAGCCCTAGATTATCTGGCAGTGGGGGCTCATATAAAAAATCCAGTTTAATGCAGAAAAATAGAGACCTTGGGATATTGGGCCTGTCTGGAGGGTTCTCTTGATTCCCAGGGCCCTTCCACACACCCCTATATCTCAGAATCTCTGCTCTTCTCTTAGGCCATCCCTTGTTGTCAGAGTAGGATAGTCTTCCAAGATCAGTGTACTGGTGGGTCCGTAGGTGACTGTGGTGCCATATTCTTGATCTGCATCAAGGCAGAAAATCCCACAAGATCTGCCTTGAACTGAGTGATTTGAGTCCACGCTGCCTTATATTCCAGTTCAAAGCAGAGAATGTGGGATTTTATTCAGCTGTGTGGAAGGGGGCCCAGATAACACAGTTCAAAGCAGATACTGTGGATTTCCTGCCTTGATATTCTGGGATATAGGGCTGTGTGGAAGGGCTCCTTGATTCTAGGACCCATTTGTGAGTCATTTATAGAGTCCTGGGGCCCTTCCACACAGCCCTATATCCCAGAATATCAAGGCAGAAAATCCCACATTATCTGACTGTGGAGTCAGATAACCCAGTTCATAGCAGATAATGTGGGATTTTCTGCCTTGATATTCTGGGATATAAGGCTGTGTGGAAGGGCCTTAATACCACACTGCCTTATATTCCAGTTGAAAGCAGGTAATGTGAGATTTTATTCAGCTGTGTGGAAGGGGCCTGGGTTATCTGTGTCCACACTCAGGTAATGTGGGATTTCCTGCCTTGATATTCTGGGATACAGGGCTGTGTGGAAGGGCTCCTTTATGCTAGGACCCATTTGTGAGTCATTTATGGAGTCATCTGGGGGCTCTTCCACACTGACATCCGCCGGGAAGTAGCAGCCAATAGTGAAAGGACCAAGGCAGAGACATCTCCAGCTCATCCCGTTTGGGTATCAGCCAGCACGTCAACGACTTAAATCAAGACATAGTTTTCTTAGATCTACAGAGACACTCGCTGGAACACCTCAGCAAGCGAGAGTCCAAAAGTGGCAGGCCCAAACCCAGCACCTCAATCCATGGGTGATACCAGATGAGAAACTCCCCCCTGGGCACACAGAAGACTGGGCGACTTGGAAGGCGCTGAACAGACTGCGCTCTGGCACCACAGATGCGAGTGCGGAGAAGAACAAACCACTGACCACCTGCTGCAATGCAACCTGAGCCCTGCCACATGCACAATGGAGGACCTTCTTGCGGCAACACCAGAGGCACTCCAAGTGGCCAGATACTGGTCAAAGGACATTTAATCAGCTACCAAGTTTGCAAAATTTGTGGTTTTTTTAATCTGTTTGTTTGTTTTGTTCTGTTAGAAATGTAATACAATGTTCTGGTTGCGGATGACACGATAAATAAATAACCCACTTCAAAGCAGATCTTGTGGGATTTTCTGCCTTGATATTCTGGGATATAGCGCTGTGTGGAAGGGCTCTGAGATAAAATCCCACATTATCTGCTTTCAACTGGAATAGAAGGCAGTGTGGACTTAAGGCCCTTCCACACAGCCCTGTATCCCAGAATATCAAGGCAGAAAGTCCCACATTATCTATGTCCACACTCTGATACTGTGGGATTTCCTGCCTTGATATTCTGGGATACAGGGCTGTATGGAAGGGCCCCTTTATTCTAGGACCCATTTCTAAGTCATGTATGGAGTCATCTGGGCTTGTAGGGAGAGTTCAGTCTGGACGCGCTTATTGGCTTGCAGGGGCGGCTCAGCCTCGAGTCTTGGCTAAGGAAGGGAAGGAAGGAGGACGCAGCCCGCGCCTTCCATGGCGAGCCCACCCCTTCCCCAGACCCAGTCGCGCCCTCTCCCCCTTTTGCCCCCGAGCCGAGCGCTGTGACTCACCGAAGAGGGTCAGGGCCATGGCGAAGGCGCGGCGAGGCGGAGGGCACGGGCTCCGCGCCTCCCTCGAAGCGCAGCCGAGGAAGCCAACCAGGCGCACAAAGAGCGGCGGCTGCAATAAAAGTTCTCTCGCCTGAAGAGGCGCCGGGTGGGGATGGTGAGGGGCTGGGCTGAGTTTGGGGATTTGTGGGCGGGCCCAGGGGAGGCTGGGCGGTGGCTCTGGCCGAGGGAAACTTCAGACAGCTGTTGCCCGCCGGAGGGGCGCCTCCTCGGCTCAGCAGCCGCCTTTCAGGCTCTGGTAGCCATCTTGGCTCGCCACATGACCGGCTCCCCCTCCCCTCCTCGAGCCCAGCGCCAGTTCCCATGGCAACGGGGGCTCGCGGGCCACCAGCCTCCTCCATCCCTGGCCCGCCCTCCCTCCCTCCTGTCAACCTCGCAGAAGCAAAGCTAGAAGGGATGCTGCATTGGTTTCTCTTTCTGAAGGGGAGAGGGAGCAACAGGGTCTCTCTCTCTCTCTCTCTCTCTCTGCCCATCTTCACTCTTTTCCACATCTCCTCCAAAGCACTTCGCAGTGACCAACACTCTCATGTCTCACTTTGGGAGAACGGATCTGCATACACTGTAGAACAGGCTTGGGCAAACTTTAAGCTTAAGCGGCTGAGGGGGAAAAGGAAGGGGCCTGAGGCTGTTAGGAATTGTAGGAGTTGAAGTCTAAAACACCTGGAGGGCCAAAGTTTGCCCAAACCTTTTGTAGAATGAATGCAGTTTGATAGTATAGTAGAGCAGTACTCAACCTGTCGGTCCCCGAAATACAACACCGCCTGAGCTCTGCGAGTGCAGCATTTTCCCGAATGAAGCAGAGAGTGTTTGAGGACCGGGACATCCGTAGGGATACTAAGGTGCTTGTCTATAAAGCTATTGTCCTCCCAACCCTGCTCTATGCCTGCAAAACGTGGACTGTCTACAGACGTCACATGCAACTTCTGGAACGATTCCATCAGTGCTGCCTCCGGAAAATCCCGCAAATCTCTTGGGAAGACAAGCGGACAAACGTCAGCGTGCTGGAAGAAGCAAAGACCACCAGCATTGAAGCGATGGTCTTCTGCCATCAACTCCGCTGGACAGGCCACGTTGTCCGGATGCCTGACCACCGTCTCCCAAAGCAGTTGCTCTACTCTGAACTTAAGAATGAAAAACGGAATGTTGGTGGACAGGGAAAGAGATTTAAAGATGGCCTCAACGCCAACCTTAAAAACTCTGGCATAGACACTGAGAACTGGGAAGCCCTGGCCCTTGAGCGCTCCAGCTGGAGGTCAGCTGTGACCAGCAGTGCTGCAGAATTCGAGGAGGCACGAGTGGAGGGTGAAAGAGAGAAATGTGCCAGGAGGAAGGCGCGTCAAGCCAACCCCAACCGGGACCGCCTTCCACCTGGAAACCAATGCCTTCACTGTGGGAGAAGATGCGGGTTAAGAATAGGGCTCCACAGCCACCTACGAATCCACAAAAATAGTCATCAAGGAAGACCATCTTACTCGTCCAACGAGGGATCGCCTAAGTAAGTAACTAAGTAAGTAAGTGGGTCCCCAGATGTGTTGACTTTCAACTCCCAGAAATCTTAACAGGTGGTAATGTCACGTTGCAAGGGCTCTGCCTCTATTCAGGCAGAGGTGAATCAAACAAACAGCCAGTTTGAAACAATTTAATTAAAACAGCACTTACTTTCTGGCTGTTTTAATAGTCCAAAACATAAAGATAGCACTCGGCCACAGAATATAAAAAACTGACAGCAAACACTGTTACAGGTTCAAGATAACTCCGTAGTCAAAAGGTCCAGTCCAGAGGTCAAACGACGAGAGTTCAATGAGCAAAGTCCAGGGATCAAGAGTTTATACCAGGGTCCTCAAACTAAGGCCTGAGGGCTGAATACGCCCCCCCCCCAAGGTCATTTACCTGGCCCTTCGTCAGGGTCAACCTAAGTCTAAAACAAATTGAAAACACACTATAACTACAACAATCCTATCTCATCAGCCCAAAGCAGGTCCACACTTCCCATTGAAATACTAATAAGCTTATATTTGTTCCAATTATTCTTCATTTTAATTATTGTATTGTTTTAAAGTGTTTTTTGCACTACAAATAAGATATGTGCAATGTGCATAGGAATTCGTTCATGTTTTTTTTTCCAAATTATAATCCGGCCCTCCAACAATTTGAGAGATTGTGACCTGGCCCTCTGTTTAAAAAGTTTGAGGACCCCTGGTCCATACCACAGTCAAAAGCCAGTCCAGAGATTCAAGGTTCCAGGGTTCAAGAGACAGTTCAGGATACCAAAAATCCACAAACCTGGGGGAAAACCAGCAGCATCTACCACCAAAATAAAACAAATACTTTTGTCCCAAAGATCAGTCCCAAGGCTAGCTCATTTTATCCAGAAACACCCAGCTGCAGTCTATCCCTTGCATACCTCCACACTTAATTGCCTTCACCCATGTACTCTTACTTACAGATTACTCAACCCTTTAGCTGCAGTCTATCCCTTGCATACCTCCACCCTTAATTGCCTTCACCCATGTACTCTTACTTACAGATTACTCAACCCTTTAGAACTAAGACTTACATTAACCCTTCCATCACCAACTGCTAGGCCTACCACCATCAACTGCAGAACATGATACATGGCAGGTAAACTGGTTGGGATTTCTATGAATTGTAGGGCAAAACACCTGGAGACCCACAAGTTGAGAACCACTGCAGTAGAGTCTTGCTTATCCAAAATAAATGGGCCAGCAGAACATTAGATAAACGAAAATGTTGGATAATAAGGAGGGATAAAGGAAAAGCCTATTAAACATCAAATTACGTTATGATTTTACAAATTAAGCACCAAAATATCATGTTTTACAACAAATCGACAGAAAAAAAGCAGTTCAATACATATTATGTAGTAATTGCAGTATTTAAGAATTTAGCACCAAAACATCACAATGTATTGAAACAGCTATGGATCTGGGTGGAAGGCAGACTGCATTGGATAATACAGAACATTGGATGAGTGAAGGTTGGATAAGCGAGACTCTACTGTAATATAAAATAACAGCTCTTTGTCCTTTAACATTTCTACAGTATTTCTTACTCATCAGTTAAGGTCACATGGTTACCTTGTGACCTTGTTATTTTCTCTAAGCATGGCCAGACTTATAGACAAGAGATAGTTCCTTGTCTGGCTTTTTCTGAGCTCTGGGAAAACATTAACCAGAGGGATAAAACTGACCAGGCAAGTTCTGGCTAAACAGAGACCTGAAGTGTATCTACATTGCAGAATTAATGTAATTTGAGATCACTTTAATTGCAATAGCTCAATTCTACGGAATTATGAGAACTGTCATTTTACAAAGTTTTATCTATTTATTTACTGCATTTATACCCCACCCTCTCTCACCCCAAAAGGAGCAGCTTACAAGTTATATGTACATACAATATATATTTTTAGCATAGCACAATATTAGCATTATTTATTACTATATTGTACCATTCCACCATACTGTAATATTATCAGTAATATTACATGTAATATGTAATTAATATTATGTTATATTATTAGCATTATGTTGTATTACATATTATTATCAATATTATATGTATATACAATATATTGTATTATTAGCATAACACAATAATAGCATTATACATTATTGTATTATACAACTATACTGTAATATTATTAGTAATGTTACATGTAATATATAATATATAATTTATATTAGTATATTATTAATAGTAGTATATTGTATTATTATTATTATTATTATTAGTATATTGTATTATATTACAATATGCAATACAAATGGGAGATTGCTGGAGGGACCTTTCTTTAATTGTACAGCCATCTCTATTCCCAAGAGTTTATTTATCGTGTCAGGAGTGAACCAAAACAGTTGTATTGCATTAAAAACAAACAAACCACAAAGTTTGCAGACTTGGCAAGAGTTTGCAGACTATTAAATGTCCTTTGGAGTGCTTCTGGTGTTGCTGCAAGAAGGTCCTCCACTGTGCATGTGGCAGGGCTCAGGTTGTATTGCAGCAGGTGGTCTGTGGTTTGCTCTTCTTCACTCTCGCATGTCGTGGATTCCACTTTGTAGCCCCATTTCTTAAGGTTGGCTCTGCATCTCGTGGTGCCAGAGCGCAGTCTGTTCAGCTTCTTCCAAGTTGCCCAGTTTTCTGTGTGCCCAGGAGGGAGTCTCTCATTTGGCATTTTATACAAATGGGGCATTGGAGAAGCAGCTGCCTTCAGGATATATTTGATCCAAGTTAACACATTTATACATTGATACAATACACAATCAATACAAGTTACATAGGAAATATCAATTTTATACATTAAAGCAGTGGTTCTCAACCTTTCTAATGCCGTGACCCCTAAATAAAATTCCTCATGCTGTGGTGACCCCCAACCATATTTTCGTTGCTACTCATAACTGTAATTTTGCTACTGTTATGAATTGTAATGTAAATATCTGATATTCTGGATGTATTTTCATTGGTAGAAATAGAACATAATTAAAGCATAGTGATTAATCACAAAAACAATATGTTTGTGGGAGTATGGACAAGGGATGGTGGGATCTGCAGTACCTTCAGTTGGTTTACCTCTGACATCCACAGTCCACTGTGACTCCCACGAATTACAGACCTGGACCAAACTTGGCACACAGAACCCCAATAACCAACAAAAAAAATATGGAGGGGATTGGGAGGAATTGACAGTGATTTATGGAAGATGTACATCCGGAGAGCACTGTGAACCCAAATGACTATGGATCTGGACCAAACTTGGCACAAATATTCAGTATGCCCAAAATTGAACACTGGTGGAGTTTGGGAAAAATAGATCAAGACATTTGGGAGTTGCAGTTACTGGGATGTATACTTTCCCTGCCATCAAAGAGCATTCTGAACTCAAACAGAAATGGAATTAAACCAAACTTGGCATACAGAAATCCCATGCCTAACAGAAAATACCAAAGAGGTTTGGGGAAAATAGACCTTGGCTTTTGGGAGTTCTGGGGATATATAGTTTCCCTGCCATTAAAGAGCATTCTGAACTCAAACAGAAATGGAATTAAACCAAACTTGGCATTCAGCCTCAACAACAACAACAACAAAAACGAGCTGGGAGAAACCCCTTGGGCCACCTAGTCCAACTCCCTTCTGCCTTCATGCATGAAAAGCACAATCAAAGCACCCACGACAGATGACCACCCA